CAGTTATATACATATCAGAATGGGAAATAGGAAATAGGACGACGCAGAGTCGTCCCCCTTTCTACTGCACTCTTGATATATATAAAAGAAAAGAAGATTATATATATAAAGATTATATATATATATATACATAAATATATATATTGTATTATTTGCTAGTAGAAACGTTTAAATCTTACGGATAGCATGGTAATGATTTCTAGGGCTACCAGCGACATCGTTTTTCCTTCGGATCCACGCGTCTTTTCGATCTTTCAACTACGATTATTCTCTACTTTACCTACTTCATGTCGTTATAGTGTTATACAATATACGAAACTATTTTGCTATGATTATTTGTAAACATTCAGTCCGCTGATTGGCTTTGCGATGAACGCGTTGAGACTTATTATTGGCATGGTTCTTTACAGATGAATCGACACATTGTTACATCATTTCCACCTCCCTTTTTCTTTGGTATCTGAAGAAGTGATGTTAATGCCAATAATAGCGAGAAGAAATAGCTATTATACGTCCAGATAATTATCTTGAATTATTGATCTGTTATCGGTAAGTTCTTCATCCGAGTCAATCATTGCGAGCATCAAATAGGAGATGAAGAAACTGTCATTAATAAGTCTTGACAATCCACATTGTAAATTCACATCTCTGTAACAGCTTGAAACTACGTTTCTTTGCAATATCGTATGAAGATCTACTATTATAAGTAATTGAGTCTAGTCCATACATAAAGCGAATTAATGATATCCACTATGCTTAAATTGTAACAATGTTCTCACTGGCAACCCACCCTGGTGACAATCTTGCTTGATAAATTAATTACCTCTCAACTGTACACACTTATCTATAAATACGTCTACACAAGGAACTGCATCCCTTACGTCATTTATTAACTTGTAAATCACATAGGCCTCTATGTAAGATTTTCTTATAAAAATGCAAAATTGGATGTGTCTTCGTTATGCGAAAAATAAAATTATTCTAAAATACTTCTTTGGTAAATCAGAGCATTTTTGATAAAATAAATTTATACTTGCAATGGGATTAAAATGAGGCCTAATTCTGTGATTTCAGGGTTGATAACTGACTACCCCCTATCATTTGATCACAGTGGTGAGAATATTTTAACATTTTAAGCATACATGTATATTTACTGTATATTTAAAGTAAGGTATCTCCTAATGAGCATAGATAAGATTAGTCTATATAATAGACTCCCCATAGCTACCCACATAGATCAAAATACGTACCTTATTTTATAGTAACCGGTATCTGCAGATAATATGCAAATTATGACTCTATCAGGTTGAATTATTCCGGTGAAAATTATATCAGAATGCCTGCTTCAGTGAAGATGATTGTCAGACTTGAGACCAATCTTTGTTGTTTACTTACATAATAATGATAAATGAGATGATATACTGCACATATCACAGGCGAGGATTTAAATAAATATAAGATAAATGTGTATGTAACAGTGATATTTTCTTGGTAAGTTTTGAAGATAATTTTATGTATATTAATTTTAAATTCTTAATCCTTTCACTGACACATATGAATTAATAAATGTCCTCCTGGAATTGGATGCCCTAAAATTTTTCCACGAGACCGTCACGAGAAATGTTAATGGTTTGGGAATCTTAAATTAAAGAATAAACATTTTCATCGATTTTTAAGGAGTTTTATTAAAGGTTTATTATTTTTTACAAATATTTATTATGCACTATAAAATATTTCAAGCTTGTAAGTATTTTTATAGAAAATACTAGGTAGGAGTAGAAGAATTCTTATTTATTTTAATTTATTAATTGTTACAAATTTAGTTTAATACAAAACTAGTCAGGTCTGTTTCTGAGTAACTTATATTTATTGAAAATAAATAAACTTAACCAGGAATCATGGTAGTTTTGGTCAGTGAAAGAGGATTGAGAATAAAAAGTAAGAGAGAAAAAAAAATTCGAAAAAAGGTGTCTAATACAAAGAAGAATGTTTATACAAAGAAAATATCCCGCTACAAAATTAGTATTACAAAGGAATATCATTAAAGTGACATATCTACCGCTTTCTCCCCATAAAAAAGAGTTGCTCAAGCAGGAAAAAAAGAAAGATTTACAAATGTTTTGCAGATACCTGTACACCATTGTTTATAAACTTAACTAAAAACTATCGCGACATCACTCTTCGAAATCACGTGCCCTGGCGCGTCGCATTCTGTTCTGCGGATATTCTTTTATATATCCAAAATGTATCGAAGTGACCGTTAACGATATCATGCCAAACCAAACTTTGACTCTCGATCACTCCATCCATTTATCTCCGATACGTTCTATAGAATCTAATTACTATTAACACTACTACTAAAGCTAAGCTCTACAAAAACGAAATTTTAAAACTGTATCAAATGTTTATATGAAATAAATTATGATAATGCAATAGAACGACTACTATTTTCTTCCCGTCGTATCATTGCGAAAGAAGAGAGAAAAAGGAAAACGAAGGAAGAAATATATAAGAGATAAGAAGACAAATAAGAAATAGAACTAGGAGGGAAAATGAAGATCATCCTCAAAACAACAATGGTGAGCTTACCTTCGCGAAACTGATCATGCAGGGTGAAGACATTTCATTCTATCACGTTCGGTTATGATTTCTTTTTTTTCTTTTTTTTTCTTTTATTTATTTCAATTAAAAATGACTCATTACACTTATCATAGCAATGTGTATGTAAGGCCCGTACTTACAATACATTGAAATTGTCGGTTCAAAAGTGTTTCAAACGTATGTTAATACATGTATTGTAAACCAATAGGTAAACCTCTCGTATGCAAAGAGTGGATGGGGTTTCAAAACGTTCATTGGTTTAGTAACGGTTTTCGTTCCAACATGGCGGACAACGGTACATAAAAGACGGATCGAAACGATCCTCGCGGTTCTAATGAAAACGCGTCTGGGGAAAAGAAGATCGAATTGATCCGGGCATTATCCGATAGAAAACTCGTTTTGTACCTCGTCAGTTTCGTTTACAGATAATTAGTACTTTTCGCAATTAAGCTTCCGAGCGTTTAGTCGATTAACAAAAAGGTCGGCAAACTTATTAGTCTGGAAGGAATTCGAAGTTACGTGTACGCGTGATCTAAGCTAAGGAGCTTTCGTGTAAGAACGAAGACGTGATTATAAAATAAAGGTGCCGAAATCCAATTGGAATGGTAAACGAAAGAGGTTCGGTAACGCAGTAAGTTTCTAATCGATCCCTTTAACCGAGTTAAATTCGGATTAGGTTTTGAACCATTGTAAGGAGAGAAAAATGATCGGGTTCACAACACAAAATAGCACTATGGAGGTAAAAATCTGGCGTGTTGTCTTGTTATAATTACAAAACTGTCTTGAAGACTATTACAAGTTAAGGACCCTAATAGATTGGAAAAAGAGCGAGCCGCTAATCTGATCCGGCATGGTTAACGCGCAATAACCACACGCACGGAAATTTTCAAGTAAGACAATCACAATTTCCTAGAACCGTCGCTCCGTGTTTCTCGTGTACACTTTCTATCTATGTAGAACAAAATTGTATCTTTCCTCTCTTTCGTATCGTCTCTTTGTTCCGTAATTCTGTACGAATATCTCGAAAAGTTATTATAATATGAATGTATATACAACCTTGGCTAGAAAGTTGGGGCGGGTGTCAGGTTCAATTCCTGTACCGATGCGACGATGATTTCTTACCGTCCCGGTGGTTCGACTGCCTTGATCTTGATCGTGACTTTCTATGATCCCTAGATCTAGATCGAGACCTCCTCTTGCTCCTGGAAACGTAAGACTCAGAACGTTTTCGTTCCTTCGAGCGTGACCGTGATCTGTCTCTGGCCCTGGATCGTGATCTACTTCGTCTCTTATCCCTGGCCCGGGATTTGCTCCGTCTGATCGAGTACGACCGACTTCGTCTTCTCCCGCGTGAATGGGAACGGGACTTCCTCTTTCCCCTGGAACGCGACCGCGACCGTTTCTTCGTGGTCGAGACGGATCTAGATCTACGACAGCTCCTCGAGCGGGATCTACGACGTTTACGGTTTCTCGATCTCGATCTGTGCTTCTTGCCGGACCTATAATTGCTCGAAGACCTTGAACGATACTCTTTACGTGAAGGCTTTATCGATCTGGACCTGGACTTCCGTTTCCGGCCGCGCTCGGAAGAACGGGACCTGGACTTTCTGCCTCTCGATCTACTTCTACTCTTCGACCTCCTCTTCCGATAGTCACGCTCACGGGCTTTGCTTGCACGTTTCTTCTTCAACGAGTTACGACTCGAGTCAGAGCTCGTCGACTCGGAACTGCTAGACTCAGAGTCGGCTGACCCCGACGGAGTATCGGCCTTCGCCGTGTCAGGCGGTGCAATTTGTTGCTGTGGACTTTGTCCGCCGCTCGATAAAGTTTCAGACGCTTCTCTTTGATTATTTATCGTTTCTTTTTCATCAACTAAAGTAGTGATGTTATGGTGTTACGCTTAATGATGCATTTTTTACGGCCTTACGTTCTATTATATTTCGAAACATACCTGTCTCCTTGCAGCTTGTATTACCAGTATGATTTTCCTGTTGCTTATTATAATGATCCTCGTAACGTTGCTCTTCCCTCTCATCCTCCTCCGCCAGACGCGCCTCGATTTCCTCCTCCGTCTTTTTGAACGCTTGTTGCCGCCGTCTTAATGTTTCCTGTGGAAATAATCGATCGACGAACAATCAAGTTTTGCACGGTGCACTCTACGTTTACCATCAAAATTACTTGTGACTTTGGACAACGTACTATGAGTTCCTCGTCGCTGTCATTGTTTTGAGCCTGGACGTGTTCGCTCTGCTCCTCCTCAGACTCGCTGTTGCTGTCGCCATAGATGCCCAGACCTACATGAAACGAACGGATTATTACCCCATATCACAGCAGACCGGGCTTCGTTTCGTTCAATGTAAAGACATACGCTCGAGCACTAATTATGCTGCTGCTATGATCGAAGAATGTTCTGTAAGACATCTTCGTTTCACGATATACTTATAAGCGAGCATGGCTA